AAGAAAGAGTAAGTATTCCCCGATTCCCATCTGCCAAATTCGAGGCACTTGAATGGGATTTACAAACTGAAATAGAAAAACAGCAATTACTGGACCTTTCTTCATTCCTTGGTGAGGAATGAATACATTGATTAGATTCTTTGCTGCTCCCCTCAGTTGATGGCGAGGTGAGCTGTGTGTAAAATAAATAAATAAATCTTCAGTGGATTTTATTCATTCTCCAGTTTCTTCTAAAGAAAAGAACATGATTGCAGAGGGCAAGGACTGGGAAAAACTGACAGTATGAGATGGCACAACCAAATTTATGGCAAAACAAGGTTTGCCATCACCATTATTTAAATGCTTGAGCAATTAGCCTCCCTAAAAATAATTTAGACCTGTTAAAAATGATTTGGAAGGCTCTGCACAAAGGCACATAGAAAGTTTCCCTGCCTTTATTGAAGCTCATGCTCAAATAGACAATCTAGTTAAGTGACATCCCTTAGGGCAAAAGGACAGTAAATTATAAGCCAATAAAGGTCTAATTATTGATGGAAATGTGTAAGTACTCAAAGAAGTTACCTCATCAAAGCTGACCTGTTCCTTGCAGTTAAATCAGGTTTCTCTTCATTTATCTTTGACTGGCCTCAATTCTAGTCCCTGGGCCACTGGCAAATAGATTTGTGCATGGTTGAATGACTCTCAAGCATGCCTGGCATTTAATGAATTTTTTTACTGCCTTTTAAGCAATCCATACCACACGTGTTGCATAAAATGAAACCCTTTTCATTTTAAAAGGATTTGAAATCCCAATCAGTTTTCCATTATGGAAGAGTAACTCCTTTGCTCAGCTCTGCTGTATTTGATACCCACAGATTGCCAAATGTTAACCCTGTTGTTAATAATAGTATCTTCACTCCCTGTTTGTCCTTAACTAAGCCAGAAAAAAGAAGAATGACAATTAAACAAATGAGGCTAAGTTTGTTATGGATGAGTCTGCCCTTATCAGTGCCTTTGGAGTCCTTAACTTGTTCAGCTCCTTCATCTGTCCATCTGGTGTTAACAGGAATTCTCTTTTAAACATCCTTGGCTTGATAGCAAATGCCACGTGGCCAAGAAACAACTGCTTTCTTGCTTTAAGGAATATAAAAAAGATCCTCCTTCTTATTCAGCCTAGGATCTCCTGCCCTTCAAGACAAAATATAAACAGGTATTACAGGCTAAGAAGAGAGTCGTGGAATCAATTAATTTTTGTTACTTGTTTTAAGAATTCAGCTCTATTCTGGAAATGCATAATACTTCAATCTGCTTGCCTTAATTTACAAATTTCATTTTTATTTTTGCTTCAGTTTGGGATAATTTTCAGTTAATAGTTGGGTTAAAATGAATGTCAGAAAAAAATTTAAAAAGTGAAGAAAATTAAGAGCAAACAGAGTGGCTAACTCTGCTGGAGTGCCTGGGGAAGTACAGGATCCACAAATTGATTTAAGTAACCACATATAACATGAATATCGGGAAGTGCTTATGAAGTACAATGTCAGAAGTCAGAATCTTTGTGTTTGAAGGCTTCTAAAGTTTGTGATGTTGTGGACCTAGATAGGTCATTTGATTAGTGTTTTAACATGAACTAATTAATCCTTACTGACTTAATATGTAAATTGGAATCAGATTTTGCACTTTTCTTAAATGTTCCAAGAAGAAAATAAAATAAAAGTATGTCTTAAGAAATTTCTACACACTACTAATTGCCAAATATATCAGTTCTTTCAGCCAAATAAATCTATGGGGTGAAATATAGATTTAATAGTTTTATTAAAACTAATTTTGAATTTCTTCTAGCAGCATGGGAGAAGTACAGGAAGCCCATATGCTTTATATTTCAGGGTCTCTGTGCTTCTTTAGAATGCCTTGGATATCTAAGAGATGCAGGCTCCTTTTCTGAAGGCGCTTGAACATATAAGTGTGGAGGGAAAAGCAAAGATTACATTTCAGACATAACAAAGAAGCATAGAGAATGAAGTGCAAGTCATTTGTGTGCACTCTGTTCCCCTGCTTATGTTCAAAGCCAAGTTCTCCCATACCTCATTATGTTCAAGCATAATATCGTAATGATATAGCCATCCAATTTTGTGAATATGTACAGTCACAAAGTGGCTATCCACTCTCCAGTTTATGGAGATATACTAGGCAACTGAATCTCACATTGGAGCAGATGCAGAAGCATGGGATCATGATGAAGAAGATAAGTTACTTCTATTCTCTGAATAATTGTTGAATGAAAAATTATTGTTCTGTTTGGTATGTGGAAGGAATATTTCAGTCTATTAAACTAGATGTTTTTTGATTAATATTGTTTTTGATATTGTTTACTCATTTAATTTTGAATTATGAGCCTTAGCTTTTCTGATTGTGTCTTGAAGTTTTGGGCTATCTGAAGATATTTTTATACTTGTCCTTTTTGTCCCTCAGATTGTCAGAGTAATAGACACAAGTGGGATTTCTTCCAAACACATTCTTCCCAGGCCTTGTGAGGTGGATCCCATTTCTCGATGAAGGCCAACATGGAGATAGTGTAGACCAAGGTCTACAAATACATTTTTTTCTTGACAGCACCATCTCTTGAACCAGCAGTTTATCTCTGAAGTCCTCCATGGGTCCAGGTTGATTCAATCTTCCATCCTTCCAAGGTGGGTAAAATGAGGACCTAAATTGTTGGGGGCAATATGCTGACTCTGTAAACCGCTTAGAGAGGGCTGTACTAGCACTAGCACTATAAATCTGTATATAAGTCTAAGTGCTATTGCTGTTACTTCATTGGATATTGACCATGCATCGGAAGTATAGATGAAAACACCACCTATGCTCTTAAGTCTTTTGCCTTTCTGCTTAGACCAGGGCTGTCAAACTCCTTGCCTGTGGACCAGATACATTACATGCTGGCCATGCCCATTCCCGGTTTAGCAAAGGGGGAAAAAGTCCTATACGTCATGTGATGCTGCTGTGATGAGATGAGTTTGACACCCCTGGCCTAGACATTTAATTTTTTTTTCAGGCTCTTTTTTGTTGTACTGTTCATTCCAACATGAAAGCGGAGAAAGGTATAATAATCAGTGGCCTTGATTAGTTGGATAATAGTGATAGCACTTAGACTTATATACCATTTCATAGTGCTTTTACAGCCTCTCTAAGCACTTTACAGAGTCAGAATATCATCCCTAACAATTTGGGTCCTCATTTTATTAACCTCAGAAGGATGTAAGGCTGAATCAACCTTGAATCAGTCAGAATTGAACTCTTGGCCATTAGCAATGAGTTAGCCTGCAATATTGCTTTCTAACCACTGCGCCACCACAGGTCCTGTGCCAAGCCTCTCTGTCATGTCTTTGATCTTTGCACTTTGAGAGATGATATACTTCCCTTGATAGATCGATAGATTCCTGAAAGCTTCCAGATAAACTCCTGGCTTAGTATCTTCTGAGGCTGACATTCCACTGGTTCAGCTGGGGCAGCTTCTTCAGAGTAAGAATCTGGATCATGACATGAACAGAATCAAGACTTGATAGTCAAGAAAAATATCATTGAACAAATCAACTCAGAGAAGCATGAGGCCAAATACCAAGCTGGATTTATCTTAGTTTGGATATAACCCAATAGTTTGGATTTATCATAGTTTGGATTTTTGGTGTGCTTGTGTGTTGGTTTTTGCCCAGTGAACTCATAAAGCTTTCATGATAGGAACTTTTGAGTTTACTGTCGTTTCTAACTATTTCTAAGTTTCAGATTCATTTAAGATTATGGTCTATTTTGAATCTGTTCATAATTTTCCATTGTGGATAAAATAATAAGCTATTGCTAATTGAAGATTTCCTAGTTAATTATAGCATGCTAAGGAGAGAAGGAACAACATGAGTTTGGAAAACAGTACATAAGTTTTTTGCATAACTTATGAAAATATTTACATCCATGGTCTATTAAATGTGATCATTTCCTTATATATAAAGTAAGACGCACTTTCCATGCCCAAAAGTGGGTGGAAATGTCTGTGCATCTTATAAAGCGAATGTTGCTGAGGCCTCAACCACCTGCCGGCCCCACCCTTTGGCCTCTACCTCCCAGCAATTTTCCTTCTTGCAGCAAACAGCAAATAGCCTGGTCAGCTTCACAATCACCTGATTGGCAGTTGGATCAGCCTCCCGGAATACTGCCGATCAGCTGTTCTAGTCTGTGGGGATCACCGCCGCCCATTGGCCCTGCCACCTATTGCCTCATCCGCACCCCATTTTTGGCCTCTGTGTGTCCCGGTTTTGGTCCAATCTAGGCGGCTGGAATAGGTGGCAGCAATCCCTGTCGCCTGGAATGGACCAAAAATGGGACACACGGAGGCGGTGATAGGTGGCAGCGGCAGTGGGCGGTGGCGGTACCGATGGGTGGAGGTGATCACTGCAGCCTGGAACAGCTGATCAGTGGTATTCTGTGAGGCAGATTCAACCATCAATCAGCTGCTCATGCTAAATCAGGCTGTGCTGAAGCTGACCAAGCTGTTTGCTGTAAGGAAGAAAATTGCTGGGAAATAGTTGGCAGAGGCAGTTTTTTCCCCACTGTTTTCCTCCCCAAAAACTAGGTGCATCCTATAGTCCAGAGTGTCTTATAGTCTGAAAAATATGGTAATTCTAATATGGCCATTTGAATTAAAATGTTTTAATAAAGTTAGCATGGAAAAATATATTCTGATATCTAATAAGGTATTTTTAAAAAGTTTGCATTTCTGATATTTCCTTTGCAGACTAGACTTTTATGTCAAATTTAGAGTCTTGACTTAGAGTTTTGACTGTGCTTTTTTATTTTGATTATATTTTGTCCTAATTTTGGAACTGAATGTCCAAACACCTCGAATCATTACCTATACAGTGTTTCCCCCAAACTACCTTTTTCTAAATACAAATATAACAGAAATAAGAAACATTCACTACCACATTCACAATTACCTGTTTTTATTCCTACAAATTTGTTCTTTCTTTCAGGTGCTCAGATTATTGACTTGATGATGCTTGTGATAGATATAACAAAAGGAATGCAAACTCAGTCAGCAGAGTGCTTGGTGATTGGACAGATTGCATGCCAAAAGATGGTAGTAGTTTTGAACAAAATTGACCTTCTTCCCGAGGGGAAGAGACAAGCTGCCATTGACAAGATGGTGAAGAAAATGCATAAGACCCTGGAAAACACTAAGTAAGTAACTTGCCTAACCTGCTTGCATAGTAGGAATTGCATTACTTTCATTTTCTTTTTTTTCTATGCTACTTTAGGAGTTTTTGATGAAATTCCTTGAACTGAGTATACTTCCTTAGAATAAATATTTCAATTGAATATGTTAGACAGATAAGGTGATAGACATTTTATTGTTGTTGAGAGCCATAGTTGCTGAAAGATAATCTGTTAGAAGTTGAATCAATTGTGGTTTGGAACATAGGTAAAAGTGAGGGGGGGAGGAAGACACCTGTTTTCTTTCTGACACTCCTCTTTTGTGTTGTATCTGACACCCACTCCTGTGCCACAAAGTAGTAAGATAGCTTTTATCAGGTAGAATAGAGGAATAAGTCTTCATGAAAGAAAATCAGCATGGATTCTGCAAAGGTGAACTCTCTTCACATTCTGGAGGATGGGGTGGGTTTTTTTTGATATTGTCAACTGAAATAGAAATGAAGGTTGACCTATACTTACACTTTCTAAAGTTTATTACTGAAGTTATTCATGCTTAAGTAAACTTTGTGATCAAGGAATAAGCTGTTCTTTTGTGTACTGTTAGTTTTTGCTTAACAGTGATAATTGGGCCTGGAATTTCTGTCATCAAGTTATGCTGATGTAACATGCAATGTCCGGTGACTATGCCTCATAGCAACAGCCATACAGGAGTTCCTGGTTTCCATTGTTTAAGTGAGGACTTCATATGATTTCAAATTCTGACTTCCTGCTGACTTCCCCATTGATTTTGTGGAAAGCTAGTGGGGAAGGTCACAAATTGTGAGCATGTGATTACTGGACACTGGTATGTTTAGAAAGCCAGTCTACTTGCTGAGCACCAGAATCACACTGATACAACCACTATGGGGATCTGTCATAGTGATGGTCGGAACTTTGGGGACTGTCATAAGTACCACTTGTTCAGCACCATTGCACGTTTGAATGTTTGCTGAATGAATGGTTGTTAAATGAGGACCACCTGTATTGCTAACTGGTTAAAAATCAGAAAATAAAAAGTAGGAATAAATGAGCAAATTTCCTAGTGGGGTGAAGTAAGAAGTAAAATACTTCAAGTATATGAATTGGGATCAGTGCTTTTTAAATTGTTTATAAATGATCTTCACTGCAATATGCAGGGAGATAACCAAGTTTGCACACGATACCAGGATGGTAAAAACCAAAGGAGCCTTTAAAAAAAAAAGAACAAATAGTGAAACAAATCAGAAATTTGATTCAGCTTAAATATAAACATAATAATTGGAACAAAAATACACCGCTCAAAAAAATAAAGAGAACACAAAAATAAGAAATCCTAGATCTGAATGAATGAAATGTTCTTATTAAATACTTTGTTCATTACATAGTTGAATGTGCTGACAACAAAATCACACAAAAATTATCAATGTAAATCAAATTTAGCAACCCATGGAGGTCTGGATTTGGAGTTACACTCAAAATTAAAGTGGAAAAAAACACTACAGGCTGATCCAACTTTGATGTAATGTCCTTAAAACAAGTCAAAATGAGGCTCAGTAGTGTGTGTGGCCTCCATGTGCCTGTATGACCTCCCTACAATGCCTGGGAGTGCTCCTGATGAGGTGGCAAATGGTCTCCTGGGGGATCCCCTCCCACACCTGGACTAAAGCATCCCCCAACTCCTGGACAGTCTGTGGTACAATGTGGCGTTGGTGGATGGAGCAAGACATGATGTCCCAGATGTGCTCAATTGGATTCAGGTCTGGGGTACAGGCGGGCCAGTCCATAGCATCAATGCCTTCGTCTTGCAGGAACTGCTGACACACTCCAGCCACATTAGGTCTAGCATTGTCGTGCATTAGGAGGATCCCAGGGCCAACCGCACCAGCATATGGTCTCACAAGGGGTTGAGGATCTCATCTCGATACCTAATGGCAGCCAGGCTACCTCTGGCGAGCACATGGAGGGCTGTGCGGCCCCCTAAAGAAATGCCACCTTACACCATTACTGACCCACTGCCAAACTGGTCATGCTGGAGGATGTTGCAGGCAGCAGAATGTTCTCCATGGCATCTCCAGACCCTGTCACGTCTATCACATGTGCTCAGTGTGAACCTGCTTTCATCTGTGAAGAGCACAAGGTGCCAATGGCGAATTTGCCAATCTTGGTGTTCTCTGGCAAATGCCAAACGTCCTGCACGGTGTTGGGCTGTAAGCACAACCCCCACCTGTGGACGTCGGGCCCTCATACCACCCTCATGGAGTCTGTTTCTGATTGTTTGAGCACCCACATGCACATTTGTGGCCCGCTGGAGGTCATTTTGCAGGGCTCTGGCAGTGCTCTTCCTGTCCCTCCTTGCACAAAGGCAGAGGTAGCGGTCCTGATGCTGGGTTGTTGCCCTCCTACGGCCTCCTCCACATCTCCTGATGTACTGGCCTGTCTCCTGGTAGCACCTCCATGCTCTGGACACTACGCTGACAGACACAGCAAACCTTCTTGCCACAGCTCTCATTGATGTGCCATCCTGGATGAGCTGCACTACCTGAGCCACTTGTGTGGGTTGTAGACTCCGTCTCATGCTACCACTAGAGTGAAAGCACCGCCAGCATTCAAAAGTGACCAAACCATCAGCCAGAAAGCATAGGAACTGAGAAGTGGTCTGTGGTCACCACCTGCAGAACCACTTCTTTATTGGGGATGTCTTGCTAACTGCCTATGCTTTCCACCTGTTGTCTATTCCATTTGCACAACAGCATGTGAAATTGATTGTCAATCAGTGTTGCTACCTAAGTGGACAGTTTGATTTCACAGAAGTGTGATTGACTTGGAATTACATTGTGTTGTTTAAGTGTTCCCTTTATTTTTTTGAGCAGTGTATATTGGTATTATAAAGGATATGTCAACAAAGATACTGTACTGATATGAAAAAGGAAATTTTTAGACAACAATAATTAGAAAAGAAATTTAAAATAAACTGTATACTTTTTGTGTTAATGGACTGTGTGTATCTGAAATGTTCTGTACAGTTCTAACCATCGTTTTTGAAAAAGAATGTAAGAGAGCTGGAAAAAGCATAGACGAATGCAACCAAAACAACTAAACAGCTCTAAACAACTTTCCTATGAGAAAACATTAGCATGGGTGAGAATAATGATGCAGGGTGGGGACCAGTGGTGGTATTCAGCCGGTTCACACCGGTTCAGGCGAATCAGTAGCAAGGATTTGGCATAGGTTGCTGAACTGGTAGTAACTTCTGGCTGGCCACGCTCCAACCCGGTTGCCCAGTTGCTGCTTGCTCACTTGCCCTGCCCACCCAATGCGTCCACCTGATGCTCACCCGCCCAGTCACTCCTTAAGGTATTTTTTTTAATCTCCCAACAATGCCAGGATTCCCCTTGCTTCTTACTGCTTTGCCCAGGAGGCTTCTCTGAGGCCCAAGAAGGCAAAAAATGGAGGGAGCTGCAAAAAAAGCCACACCCATTTAATCACGCCCACCTAGCCATGCCCACAGAACACGTAATAAAAAAATTTGAATCCCACCACTGGTGGGGACATGATTGCAATATATAAAATGATTTGTGGGGAGGAGAAAGTGTATAGGGATAATTATTTCTTATCTCAAAATACTGAAATGATATAAGGTTTCTTGCCTAAGCAGGGGATTGGACTAGAAGATCTCCAAGGTTCCTTCCAACTCTGTTATTCTATTCTATTCTATTCTATTCTATTCTATTCTATTCTATTCAAAAAAGAAAATATTTTTTTCGCACAGCAGCTGAAATGCGGTCACATGACTGTGGGGAAGGTGATATGACATTTTATGACACTTGGAAGTGTTTTACGGGCCATAAAGTGTCTGTTCTGGGCCCATCATAATTTCAAACAGTCATAAAGCAATTGGTCATAAGTTCAAGGACTATTTATATTCTATAGTGTCAATCATGGGTTTTGAATCTACTCAAGGATCCTTCAACATTCCATAGCAGATTTTGGGTGGAATGGGGGATGCAAGAAGGAGAAAGAATTCATTGTACAAAAAGTGCCTGTTCGCTTTGAAGTTCAGGGTGTAACAGCCCAATTACCATCTAATTAGAACCCCAAGGAACAGAGATGTGGGAGAGCCATGGCTGTGCTGGAAAAGAAAATTTGCAGGGTGTGAAGAAATGTACATTTATAAGACTAACAGAGATTATAGATACCTCAACTACAGGCTCTGTGTGGGCACTGGTACAATAAGGTTTAACCCCCTTCTTACTTTAGTGCCCTAATTTGCTCCATGACCCAAAACAATGTATCTGATTGGCAGATGTTTATGCCAGTTTTGATAGATTTAGAAAATAATTTCAATTCAATTGGAATGTAGCTGCAACCTTGGAGTTGACCTCAGCAGCATTCTGTTTCATACCATGTGTTGTCTTTCAGTTTTTCATATCAGTGACATTGGCTTTGATCAGTCTTGAATATATTCAGCTGTATGTATGGTTCATTTTTTTCAACTAATGGTAGTGACATTCTTAACAAGATTTGGAAAATAGTCATTACTAAATTCAAAGTAAAGGTGTAGCTACTTATATACTTGTGTTTGACTTGAAATTCTGGATTCTTCCTGATTTCTTTTCTGGGCCCCCTTCAATCCCATATCCATTTCACAGAAACGTAAGGATATTGCGCCTTAAGAAGGACCCTTCTTGGGTTAAAAGGCACTTATTTTGTCTAAATTTCTTCTTTCTTCTAATTCTCCCTGACAATAGACGTCTTTCTCTGTCCATCTCCTCTTTTCAACTCATAAAAAGTACTTGTGATTTGGTTTACCAATTAAACATTTTTCTGGGCTTCTTGTTGAGCATATACTTAAGGCACTTTGATAGTACTTATCAAAACAATGCCAACATCTTTTTTTCTGCAGAGTTTCAATAATGTCCAGAAGTCAATAACTTATCTACTGTTGCTAATGCTTAATAATGTATTTTAGATGAATAAACTGAATTTAAATGTATTACTGTTAGAAATAGCTTATTTAATACTTAAACTAAATAGTTAGGTTAAACTATTTTTAAAAACAATGTTTCCCTGGGGAAATTTATACCATATATGATATTTTTCCATATATTCTTCAAATGTATTTTTTTTAAATGCACTGTTTTGGAAAGGTATATAGGGAAATTATTTCTCTAATATTTCACTCAAAAGCTTCAATTATTAGGAAACAATATAGAAATAGAAGACCTCTATGGATTTGTTAGAGCCGTTGAAGATTTCTGAGGTGACTTCCATGCTTTTCTGAACCGTTATTTCTGCTAGGGCATCTGAGATACATTATGATATTGGAAAAGATAAATGGTAAGCCAGGTATTGATCAGATAAGCCATCATTTACTTGGCTTGTTGGTAATTTGACTCTGGCTTATTTAACAAAATATGCCTAAAAATGTTAGTTTAGCATTAAGAACCTTCTTTCAATGTTGAAGAGATTTGAAGTTTTATAGTTGAATTTCCTCGGCACCATGAAGAAAATAGGAAAGTAACAAACTTGTCTAGGTGATAGCTTAATTATGCTGGTGAAAGTAAAAAAGCAACCTGAGATACTACAGGAAATTAGATTATCCTTCTATTATTTCAGAGCCAATATTACAGGAGGCTACTAGTCATATGAAGGCTTCATCTGAGCCTTTCAGAGTTCAGATAAGCAGATCCTCAGTGGCTGGGGGTTATTCAAAGCTGAATTAATTCCAGTTATGCCTCTTTCAGTTTTAAAACAATTTAGAAACTAGCTAGATTATTGTTTTTGTTAAATTATAGCTAGGGATAGATTGAAATTTAATAGAATAGTGATATTATGTAAACCACACTGGGAAATGTCTGAACTGTAACTTTATTATACAACTGTTGTTGTTTTTTTGGACCAGGTTCCATGGATGTCCTATAGTTTCTGTTGCAGCAAAGCCTGGTGGTCCAGAAGCCCCAGAAACTCTAACTCCAATAGGAGTTTCGGAATTAATTGAAGTACGTATCTTAAAAATGCTAGTATTATGTGATGGCTCAAGGCTGTAGGCATAATCAAAATCCTAGTTGAGTGGACTGGTAAGCACTCCTTTGATAATAGAGTGGTAGAAGCCTATGCAATTTATTTGGAAATAACCTCCACTGATTTATAGTAGCACTTACTCTCAGATAAGTATGTATGGAATTGAACTTTTCTTCGTTCATTAACAGTTTTGCAAGTGAGTCTTTATATTCCCATTTCTTGAGTAAGAGCTAAGACTGATAAATGCATTTGCAACAGGTTTATAGAACTAAATATCATTCACAGATAGTTGAGGTGGCAGAAATTGGGAAATCCTACCAGTGTCTTGAAAGGGCTGAATTAAAATTAAAGGACAGCACTAGGGTATTGATCATATCAGCATGAAAACAGGCAGTAGCAGATTCATAGAAGTTGAGTTGCCTCAGAGACCGTCCAACACATTGTAACAGAGTGTAAGATGCAGTCAGGACCGCATATACCGAATGGCACAACCACGCAGCTGTCATTATGTGCATTATCTGGTGGCGATAGATGTAGCTGTGCCAAGTGACAGCAACATCGGGAAGAAAGTGTATGAGAAGCCAGAGAAATACAGGGTCCTAAGGAAGAAAGCGGGTGGCTGATATGTATCTTCCTCAATCCCGGATCCTCTATCAGAGAATTTGCCTGGGAATTTGTGGGTCCTGTGCAGTGTCTTAGCTATTCCTAGCACTGCACTCTTCTGGACAAAGAGCTCTGATGTTGTTCCTGGGATTGCAGCTCTAGTATTATTTGTTTAGGGTATGGTATTCATACATGGACTAGCACTATATATATTAACATTTCATCTAGATTATCTAGATTAGCAGAAGCCAATAAAATATAAATGTTAAAAAGATCTATGTTGAAATACCAATGTCTAAGCCATCTAACTATTGAAGCATAGCATTGTTTATATTTTTAAAAAATCAGATACTGGATCAGTATCTGCCTCAGTTTACAGCTGGTCATGATGTAATCTATAGCTTTGGGTGCTCCTGTCACCACTGGGGCCACCTTGGCTTTTACTTTTTACATGTTCTCCAGTTCCTTCTTCAGGCCTTGGTACTTCTCCAGCTTCTCATACCTCTTCTTCTTGAAACTTACTTTCTTCTCCAGCTACTTATTCCTAGTGATTCATTTCTGGATAGAGCTAGTGGAAAATGAAACTTCAATTGCCAGTGTGCCTTATTGTTCTTTGCCATTATTTTCTATTAGACAAAGTTGTAAAAATAAAGGAGAGTTAAAAAAAATTCTGCATGTCGATCTTTTAAATATGTATGTGCATTCTGAGAACTGGTATGTATCCGTTCTTCCCCAGAGTTACAAATAGTTATTGCTGCTGTATTTGCATAGGTGTTGACAGAAACTTTTCTGTGACATATTTTGCTAACCAGGCTGATTGCACTGCACCAAAATTTTTAAGGCAGTTGCTGCTGCTAAGTCTGCACCTCCTAGGCAGTGCAAACAATTTATTTGACCTTGGACTATTCCAGTCTTGTTGCAACAGAAAGCTATGCCATGGTGAAATCAATCACATACCTTTTCTCTTCATTTCTTTGTGTCTTATGTGGCATTTTGTCAATATACAGGTCTTATTTTCTCTTGCTTTTAGGTCCTAAAGTCAGAGGCTTATATACCAACAAGAGATCCTTCAGGATCATTCCTTATGGCCATTGACCACTGTTTTTCCATCAAGGGCCAAGGCACTGTGATGACAGGAACTATTCTTTCAGGCTCAGTTAATATTGGGGACAATGTGGAAATTCCTGCCTTGAAGGTGAGTATGTCATTTTTGGTTCTAACAGCTTTATCAAAGAGAGAAAAGGCCTGAAAGTTTGCTGCTCCTGTAGTATTCCATTTACCTAACTGATTTCATTTGGCTTACTCAATAGGAACTTAAAAAAAATCCTTTTGGGAATACTGTACAGAATTGGGTAGTTTTTGATATAACAATGTTGGCGTGATTTGCAAACTATATACTTTGCAAGCAAAATAGATGCCTGAAGCTGAATCCTCAAAAGAGACACTCCAGAAACAATGGAGATAAAAAAAAATTTAAAAAGGAAAAAAAGAGAAAAAAACTCTTTCAAGGCACTTAAATAGAGAAAACATCTCATCTGATTTTACTGGTGCAGAAGAATGAGAAGAGACCAAATTCAGGATATTTTAGTGAAATAAGAAACAACAGATTAACAGTATATTTGGCTGCAGTGAAAAGTTACCAAGAATCTAGTTTGGTCCTTCTGAGAATAAATGTTCATATTAAAAAAAATCATTCAAGAAAATCTTATTATGACATAAAAAATAATAACACTACTCTTTCTTTATAATGAAGAAAATGACCAGCAAACAAAGACATATAAATGAAAAAAAATTAAATTAAAGGATAAATAAGAAATTTCTAGATCCAGAAAAAGCCTATTTTCAGTGTTGAGTCTGGCAGCTATGTAAATTCAGTTACCAACCAGTTGGACTTGATGAAAGAATTCAGTTTTATCTAAATGTTCTATCCTTATATTTTAAAAGTAACAACCTTTTCAGTTGGCCAATTGATTAGCATAATAGAGAAAGAAGAATCCAATCCTAATTTTTTAAAAAAGTGGAAAATCCATCAAGATTTAGTCTTGAAATAGAGAATTAGTATAATTACTTTATGAATAGGTCAGAGTCATTATTAACTTTAAGAAAGGCTCTTCTCTACTGATATCATTTTTGCTCCCAAACTAACTTTCTGTTGTTATTGTTGCTGCTGACTTCTACATGTAAAAATCACTGCTTGATTCAAAAATTCCCATCCTTTGTTTCTAATTGCTTCCCCCCACCCCGCCCCAGCTCATAAGGTGAGCTATGAAGTGCCATATTACCATTCCTCTATTCAGTTTATTAACATTTGTGGGAAGAGGATTGTCTAGGAGTTGATTCGGTGAAGCAGGAGTTTTCTAATGCTTTGTACTGGAAAACCAAGTTCGGTATATACAGTATCCTGCTGAACTACTCCTGGATTGTCTTAACTGTTGAAGAGAGATGATATTATGGAATCATGTGTGAAATGAAGGTGAAGTGGATGTAACACAAAAACTTTGGAGGTGTCCAAGATGATCAGTTAATTAAAGTTTTTATGGTGATGTTTTCAGAGCATACTCTGCTCGTTACGTAGGAATATCATTTTATTTATATATTACATCATCGAAATAAAGCAAGGCTTTTTTAGGAATCAAAAATATAAAAGCACCATAAATACCAAACCTATTCTCACTTTCCACAAAATAAAGGCAGCATCCAGGTAAAAAGCCTCCACTCCCACCCCACCCCAAAAAAGCAAGAAAAAACGAACCAAAGAGGCAGTGTTGATTTTTTTGTATTGCAAAATTGTAGGCCACCCAACTCCAACTGAGTCTGAACAACTTTGCATATAAGTTTTCAGTACCTTTTGGGAAAGCAATAAAGGTAAAAAGCATTTGAGCCTCAGAAGTAAGCTGAGAATGATTGCCAGATAGAATGCCACTATAATTCAGCATTTGGCATAATAATTTTAAGTAAGCATGCATCTCCCCACTGCATATATTTGGAAATGGACAGTTGAAATTACAGTTGGAGATTAAATTTGTTTTCCTGTTATCTATTTCATGAAGTATTTAACTAGGTTACCTGTGGGAAGTTTTATCAATTCTCAATCCTACAAAGCAATAGAAGAGAAAGATCTTATAACACATTGTGGATTATGACATTCCTTGACCTTTCTTTGCCCTGACCTTTTGCTAACTGAGATTGACAGCTGATGCCCACTGGGCATTGGGGACACTGGAAAACAGCTGCTTTCCAAGCTCAAGGAACCCTCCCAGCAAATAAAGTGGCATCTCATACCTATTCTACTAATAGACTTCGACGTGTGTGACCGCCTGAACTTGCCAAAAGGAGGGACAGAGCAATTAAAAATAAACAGTGACATTCTCAAACGCCCATACTCTCTGATTGAGGTTGAGAATGCCAGCAGCACACAGATTCCTTTACAGTGTTGACTATGTAAATTACCATCTGGGGTTGATTATTTGAACTGCAGTGAGATAATGTTGTGCGCTACTTGTGTGTCTGTGAGAAATCTCTGACGTAGCAGACGATTCTTCAATGAAGCAGTTTCATACCAGTTACTCAATGATACTTAACATCCATGCTGAAGTACATGAATCCCTTATTTGTAGTTTGAAAATGTAGTGGTACTATGTACATTTTCAAAATTGCCATGCATGTGATATGTCTATTGCCATTTCCATTTTAGGAGTAACATTTCTGAGTGCTAATATCCCAATAGGACATTTTCTCTCTTTCTTAGATGGGAAGTGATTTAATACAATTGGGATTTGTATTTGCCTAATATTCCAATATGTGCACTATTAAAAGATGCGAAAGACCAGGTTAGGGATAGATTTTTGTCAGAAGAAAAGTGTGTCTACTAAGAGCCAACAAAGACTTGAAGACATAGAATGAATCAATTAAAAAACACTGAAGTAATCTGTTAGCTTGATGACTGAGTAATCACTATATTTTATAGGCTGAGTTATCCTGTTAAAATAGTTGTATGCCACATTATACAAATTGATTTGTGATTAATTGAAAGTACCATTTTTGAAATCTGAGACTTTCAGTTTCTCTAGGTCCTAATTTTTTAAAAAACTGAATTTATCAGTTGAAAGTAGGTGATCTACAGTTGATACAATCTATGATAAGCAGTTTACAGGCGGCATTCTTTTTTCTTTTGCTATGATAAATAGTATACCTGAGTCAATACTCATATATTTGAAATAAGTGACTGTGTGCCCCTGCAATCCAGTTGAGATAGCTTTGGAAGACCATTATGATACATTTTTTCAGTATAGTTTCTGGAGATTATTATTGCTAAGCTTAAGTTGGGTTGGCACCTTTTTGTTATTTTTCTTAATCATAGTTGTATATTTGCTTATCACTGCTGTTTTGGGGTTGTATATTATAATTTGACTATTGTACGTTCACTGAGAGTTGTTTTCAATTATGATGTAATATAAACTTATAGATAGGTACATCAGGGGATACATTTTGAGTTGGAGATGCAGAAACTTCAAACTTCTTTAGTCTTGTTTCTTACCTTACAGTATAATTTTTGAATATAATGCATTTCTTAAGTTTAAGATTCTTAAATCATTTGTATAAATTCAGGAAATAGTATAATTGAAAACAAACCTCACCAAAAGGTTTGGGTAGGGGTGATAGAATGATTAAAAAAATTAATTGTTACAGTAGAATACACTAAATTTTTTAAAGCCTATTGTGTTGTTGTGTAGTTGTATACATTTGCAAGTGTTTGCAAATTTCAAATAGATGGTTTAGTAAGGCAAACTCAATCCTTATCATTCTCTGTCTTCTTTTGACTAAAATATCCTCTCAAATTGTCTCTTGTTGAACTTCATATAAGATTTTCATTTTTAAAGGAATAATTGTCCTGAGTTGTTCCTGACTGTTTTGATTTTATATATTTTTCTACCGTACGTCACCATCTAAAAATGAATATAAATTTAGTATAAACAAATGGAATGTTTTCATTCAATGAAATATATAAATTAAGGAATTTATATACATGTATGTATGTACAGTATGCACATCTAATTCCTGGCAGACTTTGATCATTAACATTTCAAACATTCAATCTCTATTGTCTTGGATAAACATTAATGGCTACATTATTTCCACCAGGGTCTCTACTCCAAATGGGTTGTGCTGCACATTTATCTTCTTTGCTACATGTTGGGTCTTGGCTAAATTAGACAGCATCAGTTTCTTCCCTGGCTCCAGCTCTTATATCCTCTTGGCTGACCTACTGAACTTTTGTCCTGGACTCGTTTAGCAGGGAACAGAGCTTCCTCATTTTAAGTTGCAGCACAGCACCCCAATAGAAGCTAGTGCTGTAGAGCAGACCGCTAACATGATATGTAGGTGATCAGTATAGATCTGCTATTGGAAATAGTTAGCTGTTCATCCAGCCTGAACTTGATGGCTTCTATGCTTGATGATGTTGTTGTACTTGTGATCTTCTCATAGACATCTTATGAGTTGTTGTGAGAACAAAAAGCTTGTGTTAGGTGAAGCTTTATTGTAATCCTTTGCAGCTTGTTTTACAGTCATATTTCCAAAAGATGTTTTACTTAACTACTATATGTTTTCAATATTGATCCTATTTTTCTAGATGTAACATTTAAGTGTCAGTTTAGAATTCATGTTAAGTTTTGCAAGTATTTATAAGAACTACCATTATATAACAAAAAGAAGATTAACACTAAATTTAAAATGGGTCTCTTTCACTTCCAAATATGTATACCTGGACCAAAAATGATAGAGACAAGACCCCTAGGGCAGCTGAAACTCTTTTAAAATATTTCCCTCTTTCTGATAAATGTGTCCATTTATCACTTGTGTTGCACAAACACAAAACCACCCAAAGGCAGGGCCATGCCTCCCTCACAAAAAGCAACATCTGTTAAATAGTTATGTATTAAAATTAGTTGAAAGCAAAATAAGAAATCCCTTTTATAAAATGAATCTCCACCTGCATATACTGTCTATATTCACACACACAAGCACCAAATTCCTACTTTCCAGCAGAAATAAATAAATAAAAAAGAGGATAACAGTGGAGCAAAAGCACTAGAAAAGGAGGAGAAGACAAAGGGGAACAAAACTGAAAGAAAATATGGAGAAATGGACAAAAAAGGGGGGGAAAAGATCTATATAAGCAATAGGAATAGGTTT